GGCAATTTAGGCGTTGATTAAAAATTAGAGCCTTTTTATGGCTGCGTCAATTACAATTCGCCGCACCTGACATGTAATCCTCACTTCCTGAATGATTCTCAAAGGCTTTCTTTTAAAAAAATCTTGATTTGTGAACATTTTAGTTTCACTTTATAGTCGTTTCGTGCAAGTAATTAGCACGAACAATCATGCTACTTAGATTTTTCATTTGAACCAGCGACATGCAAAAACTTGACGTCATTCCAGACTGCCTGTTTATCTAAGGGCAAATTTCGAAGAAATATTTATTGGCTATTCACGCTGCTCCATATATTGGATGAGTACGTTTGTTGGCGACGGTTGTATACGTTCCAATTCAAGTAACTCAGTTTTACAGTTGGTGCAAGTTTGACGGGCATCAGTTACTCTTTCATTTTTGATCAGTTGTGTACCGTAACGGCCATTGTCACAAGAAGCTTTCAAAGATGTAGACTTACAACAGCAAAGAATAAAAGTTAGATATCTAATATATTCATCTCGAAACTGACGTATCACTGTTCCATAGATAAGAGGGTTCAAACAGCTGTGAAACACTGCTAACAAATCGGAAAATTTGAAAATAACAAGCGCTATCTTTTTTTCGCTTTTCCCGCCAAAATCGATGAGCATCCAAGCAGCATGGGTTGGAAACATGCAGACTGCGAAAGATACAACTATCGTGGCAAGAATTTTGGCAATTCTTTTGTTTTCTTGTTTCCTTGCTTCCTCGAGTGTTTTTGCCGGAGATGTGAAAGATCTGCGACGCTTGGACAAAAACAATTCTCCTCCAATTCGGACGTACGCGGTTGAAATAATAATTAGCGGAACAAAGTACTGCAGTCCGGCAAGAACCGCCGTGTACACCCGCTTGTGGTCGACTGTCGGCCAGTCCTCACAACATGAACCCGAAGGCCCGACTTTAGCAACAATGATCATTGGAAGGGCAACAAGAAATGAGAGAAGCCATGTAACCAAAAAGCATACAACAAGCTGTCGTTTTTTAAGGGAATTCTCGAAAGGACGCAAGATTGATTTGCAGCGATGAACCGCCATTAACGTAACAGTAAAAATCCCTGCGCAAAATGAGATTGTCATCATAGGCCAGATGATTTTACAATACACCAAGGATCCCTGGAAACTGGAAACTTGCATGTAAATAAATACTGGCAAGCACAATATAATAAAACTTAAATCAGAAAAAGCCAAATGCATGATGAAAACATCATTAATTGAGCGACTGTGTTTTTTGGCGACTACAAGAAGAACAAGAAGGTTTCCAGTTGAACCAAAAATAAAAGTTAAAACGTAAATTGCCAAAGTAGCCCTCCTCGTGGACTCGTCAACTGTCCCAGTAGAGCTGTTCGTTATGTCGGAGCAGTTCATCATATCTCCGAGTAGGAAGTTCAATTCAAAGCCATGCTAACGTTTGCGTCCTGTTGGTAATATACCAAAGTCGTAGATTTTGATACTTCAAATCTCTTTGCAACTGAAAAGAAAATCTCAATCCAACCGGATAACAGACATCGGTCCTGTTAATATCTTAATGTCGGCTTGTATAAAGGACAGCTAAACTGAACACCTCACATCTGACACGCTGTCGGGTCCACTTTGTATTTTTAACATATAAATAAAAAACTTGCTATTATTTAAATACATGGCACTATGCAATCAACACCGAACAATACCAATTCTATCACGGCTAAATTCGTTCGGAATACATTTGATTGATCTAATGGAAGCTCTTGCAATTCACTGATTTGGTAGCTGATTATGAATTTAATGATTTTGGGGCTTTCAAAGCCCTGTAGCTAAAATATCGGGATGTTTAAATGTAACGTTTCAACATGATAATTATAAAAGGGGAAAATATAAACATGCTTTGGCACATGAACCAGCATTGTACTTTTTATTGAAACGTTTCCCATGTTATCACCTTTGAAATAAGTTTGAAAAAGCAATTATCGGCTATGGTAAAGAAATTATAATTTAATGCTAGTTTATTCTCTTAGCAGCTTATGGACTGTTTGGGCGAATTGCTTCAATCTATCTTTTCATCGTTCAAATTGAAGATAAGCTTTGACTTGACACTCTTTACCGCGCGATATTGGATTAATTTTCCTGTAAAGAAGACGTTCACAGTGAGACGAGGATGAAATACAATATGCGGACCCGGCACTAATGTTTAATTTTTTCCTAGTTACCACCGATCATATGATTAGATACACCGCTACTCAAAACCTTTAATTTATTGTGCAAGTAATCTTACCACCAGAAACCGAACGCGAGATATCAACATTAGTAAAAGAAAAAGCAGCAAATCGAGAAGCGTAATATATCATGAATAATTAACGCTTCCAAAACCTTTCTTCTAATACCCACCAGAAAGAGAAGAAAATAGCATGAATTAGCTGATAATACAAATGTATGTAGAAATTCAGTAATTTAATGGCGATGACCTGACCAGTACTGAACAACAGTACAGTGTAAAAGAAGAAACAAGACTAAGTCAATTCTTATTACTCCAACCAATAGTACTCTAACTAAGATAAAGAATGCCAGGCGGCTATTCTTCATCGGCCTTCAGAAAAAAGAGACATGAAAAAGTTACATTGTATTTTAGTTACTGATATTTTTTTCTGCGTAAAACTATGTTTTCTTTTTCAAAGCTAAAATCATATTTGCTGTTGAATGTTTTCTTAAGGCAGGGTGAGCATATTCGAAGTATATTATTCTCCACCAATCAGAAAATAATTCAGATGTTTTCGAATGTAAAGCTATGTTTGACGTCCCATAAAGTGACGCGTACAGACCCGCTGTCATTTCGGTTTTTTATGTCATAGCATACACGCACAGCTGGCCATCGAATGTTTACGTTTTTGCCTTAATTTACGAAGTGTCCAATGACCGAATAAGTCACCAAGACATGGATCTTCAAGTCTTAACTTTCAAGTAAAATTTGATGTTCAACTATCCATGTAAGAGGGGTCATTTATTAACACATTGTCTTTTTAAGACTTTTTAAAGTCTGGAGAAGTTCTCCAAAAGGCCCTTTCTGAGGGGCTTATATACCGAGTGAAATTTACGTCTCAAAATCGATTGGACTAGCTTATAGTTGGGAGGAAAGTTATGTCAGTAAGTTTTTACCGAAACTCGCCTTGAAGACGTGGATCTTTCTAAAACTCATTCATGAAAGTACTTGCCTATATGGACCAAGGAAATCCAAGCCAAGAGTGAAGAGTGAATTACGCAAACAGCAATATACTTTGACACTTTTTGACTGCAATTATTTGGCACAAGTTACCGGTTTTCGGCAGATGCCTTACTGTACAATTTTTGCTTTGTTTTATTATGAATTTAAAGACAGTTTCCAAGTACAAACCCCCGCGGGCTTATTTTTGGAGGGGCGATTTAACGGAGGGTTTTTTGCGTTACTCAGTATGAGGGGCTTAAACATGGAGGGGCTTACTTTCGGAATTTTACGCTATATATAGATGACTAACTGTGAAGCAAATCCTGAGTAAGCTGACCTATCAAATTTTCTTACTCCTAGCAATGGAGACCCTTTTTGTCCGCCTCACCTCACCTATCCTCTTCGTGCCTCGTGGCACATAAGGTCTTTTACGTACATTCTAGTTCCCGATCTTCATGGTGTTTTTGGAGTGTACCAGTGACCTATTCAGCTCGGCGGCGTCCTGTTGGCTTTGGCCCCCTCGCATCATATAGTCACTCCTGTTGCGAGGATCGGCCACAGTGTCTCCTTGATAAAGTGAATTTTCCCTGCTTTTGGTTTCTGTAATAACAGGGTTTTAAGGGAGAGGGTTACCAGCCCTCAGCCGAACCTCCAACCTGGAGGACAAGGGGACCACACTTAGTCTGGTCTCTATCCTTCGACCTGTTCGGCATGGGTGGCCCCAACAGGAGTCAAAGACTCCAGCCGACATAGCTCTATGGGTCATTGAAACACGCAAACCACTCCACCACGGTAAGGTGGTGGTTTCTTTGTCCGCCACCGCCTTTTTTTGACATTTTAAAATCAAGACTTTGAAACTAAAGTGAAATACTGGATAAAGCAGTAAAATGCAAATTTCTCAGGCTCTCTAGCCTTGTTACTTGTTGTTTGACGTTTACTACCATTCTTATACAATACTTTGAGTTTGTGTTTTTGGAATTAAAACTACGCAGTATTTACTTTTGTCACGTCAAGGGATAGAAACTTTGCAGCTGCTTGGCTATACTTTTCAATATTCTTGACTGTATTTAGTCAGTTTCTTACTGTTCTAGTTTTCCTCTATCAGCAATTCAGGAAACTGGTAATTCTTTTAGCTCTGTTGCATTCAACGTGGACATGACGACATCTGATCTTACTGTTCGAATGAACTTCTCGCTAGTTGCAGAATCAACCGAATTACTCCCACTTACTCTTGTGATATCAATGATTCTTCCAGAACCTGACTTCCACAGGCAGCAAAACATTTTTTTCAGATATTTTATGTACTCAACACGAAAGTGCTTCATGACTGTTCCGTAAACCAGTGGATTTAAACAACTGTGAAGTACAGCAAACACTTCGGAAAGACTAAGCATTCTGAAAAGGATCTGCGCTTTCTTTGAGCTGTTTTTTCCAAAGTAATAATATAAGGATGCAAAATGCTTTGGAAACATACACACGGCAAATATGACTACAATTGATGCAATGGCCCGCACAACTTGGGCATCTTCACGCCTTCTCGCTTTAGAAAATGCTCTAGACTGGTCGGATAGTTTGCGGGATTTCGATTGTCTGAGCTCCAGGCCAATGAGAACATAGGCAACGGCGATGATGCATAAAGGTAGGATATACTGTATTGTCAACATGAACAGAGTAAAAGCTCTCTTGCTCTGCACGTTTGGCCAGGCATCATAACACATACCATTATAAGGATTGACTTCAGCATACACAATCCCTGGTATCACACAAATATACGCCACAATCCATAGCATGGCAATGTAGATGTATACTGACCTCTGACTGATGCTTGAAGTATACGGATTTATGATCCCCTTACAGCGAAGAACAGCCATTGACATGATATTAAATATGCTGGACAAATATGCCACTGTGATAAGAGGCCATATCAACTGGCAGAATAGCTTTGGTGCGTGGAACTGTCCAATGGCGTGGCCAAAGTACATTGGAAAGTATATTAGAATAAGTATCAGGTCCGAGATCGCTAGATTTAGGATAAAAATGTTATGAAAGGAACGAGTACGCCTCTTTCCTACAACTACCACGACCACGAGCACGTTACCAAACAATCCAAGAAAGAAGATGACAAAATAAAGAGTTAACTTCACCTCTGGTGTGATGAATGATAAAACAGCAGCGCCAGAGTTTTCCACCAGGACAGTGTTGTTTGTATAATTCATCTTGTTTACTCGCGGATAAGTTCTTCAAAGTTGTCCACTCTGTTTTGCATAGAGTAAAAATAGATGTAACACACCTCTGTTATAACTCATGCTAAAATTTGTATTAAACTCTCAAAAACTATGGCTGTGCATAAATTCAGTCATCTTTTAAATCTATCCCAAACCTCGCGACATGTGGAACATATCAAGTAAGTCAATTTATCATTTTCCTTTTGGGCGCTTAGGTATGCCGATCCTAACAGTACGTAGCTCCCAGCCGCGATTATTACTGTTTTTGAATTTCTCCGTAGCTCAGGGTTGGTAACTGTCTGGGAATTTATCATCGGTTTGATTTCTGTCATAGACTGAGATCATTTTCTCAAAATCCTCATAAGTGACGATATCCGTTCAAAGCTACCGACTGTGGATTGTGCGTTTATTTCCGTAAATGACAAAGCTGTTTAGATGACTTGTAGGCAATTAACCATGATATAAATAAATTGTTTTCCTTAATTTATTGCTTTTTACCCTTATAAATAGCAACAACGTAAAATTCATTACAGTTATTTTTAAAACACCCCAAATTCAAAGATGGTTTGACAAAAAAGCTTTGGACAACTGGAAAATAACCTAAGAGACAGAAAAGAAACATTTTGCGGTGAGTTCATTAAAATTACTATACACTTCTCATAAATTACGCCTTTTTACCGAACTGGGCCAACTTCATAAATTTTCTTGTAAGAACTGGTACTCTTAAAATCAGTTACTTGGTAAAATTGCCGAAGCCTTAATATTGACATAATTGAGATATCACCTGATCTCGATTAAAGAAATTTTATTAACGTTTTCATTACCACCTGAGTTACCTTTTTAATTAAGTAGCTGTGATTTGTGTGAACTGGGTCCAGCTCTAACCGCTGTAACTTTCCCGTATACTACTTTTTTAATGTTTCGAAACGGCTTAGAACATCAACAAGAAACTGGGAGAAGTCGAAGTCCATTTGGGCCGGACGTTCAAACTCCGGCTTACAATTAAAATGTTCTGGCATATCAACCGCGGATGGAGATGCTCCTTGTAACCAAAAAGAGCTGAAACCAACGTCCTTTTTAAATGACTCGGTAAAGTAGCTGTTTAGCTATACACAAGTGATATCATGGCCATATGGGCCTGTTTGTCATGCCAATATCAGTGTTCAGTATTTGCCTGTTGCATCAACGCTCTTGCTTTGCAGGCTTTATTTATTTTATTTCCAATTCTGCCTACTGTTCTAATTCGTAAATTAACCCTTTCGCCCTTACATGCGTGGCGTAAGGTCATCTACTGTGGAAAGTTATGAAAATGGAACAAGAGATACTATACTTGAGGGATGAGTTCGTTAAGTATAGGTCAGGGGCACCCAACGACCGTTTTTTGTAAAATATCTGTTCGGAGAAGCAAATGTTGAATTTTGCAGAATTTTCTATTACTTGAGGACGGCTAACAATTTTGAGAGGAGCTTTCTATTCATGTACAACTTCCGAGGCTTATCTAATAAATTCCCTACGATTTTCTGAAGTTTAATTTATCATATTTCACTGCCCAGATTAGANCGTAAATTAACCCTTTCGCCCTTACATGCGTGGCGTAAGGTCATCTACTGTGGAAAGTTATGAAAATGGAACAAGAGATACTATACTTGAGGGATGAGTTCGTTAAGTATAGGTCAGGGGCACCCAACGACCGTTTTTTGTAAAATATCTGTTCGGAGAAGCAAATGTTGAATTTTGCAGAATTTTCTATTACTTGAGGACGGCTAACAATTTTGAGAGGAGCTTTCTATTCATGTACAACTTCCGAGGCTTATCTAATAAATTCCCTACGATTTTCTGAAGTTTAATTTATCATATTTCACTGCCCAGATTAGATAATTTTTGGTTCAAAAAAGGAAACCTAAAATTTTCAGATTCACAAATGTGATGGAGAGAGGAATCAGAAAAATTCTCACTTTCGTAATACGTTAAATTGCATTCTAAAGTTTTCGGGAAAATAATACTGTCAGCCCATGCAATTTCACAGACTCAAGTTTCTCTGGCCTAGGATGACCGAACAGATACAAATTTTGTAGCGCGGCTCAGAATGCATAACTAGATATCTAAAAGTACTCCGGATAGCCTAAAAAGTATTTTCTATGTCTTTAGGAGGAAACCGTCGTTGGGTGCCCCTGATAGGTTAAGGGATATTTTGTCGGCTTACCTTTATGACTAATTATCTCCTGTATAAGAACAATTCATTCTGAATTCCATTTTAAGTTGCTACTTGTACGTGTGTAACATACAGACAAACGATCAGCTTTTGAACTTAAGAGGCTCTGCAAATGCAAATGACCGATTTAATTTGCGTTATTGGGAACATGACACCTTGCAATTTGCACCCGTGTCTGGCTACGTTTTGTTTTCATAAGAACCGGGACACAAAAGACCAGTTTCTGATTGGTCTGTTTGCTGTAAAACTGCTATTCAAAGGAATTATCACTGAATCGTTTTGTAACCAGAAGGCCAACAATATTAACATTATACTGGAAAAAAATAAACAAAAGCCATTACTTGGATGGAAGAAAGAGAGCTATGCAATAGAGGATTTTTAGCATTCTTTTTAAATATGACCTTCACTCAGAATTAATCTAAGCCACATACCATCATATTATTCTCTTTCTCGTACGTGCCTGGAACGTTTTCTCATAAACATAACATAGCAGTGTATCCTTGTCTTTAATGTCTTCCCGCCAGACAGAAGTTAATTAAATACTTTAAAGCGCTCCGGGTGACACTGGATTTCAGCTGCAGACACCCGTATTGACTAAGCTGATACTTTTCCGTATATTAGGAAGAGAGCACCGTGTATTCATCGATAGGAAAGGAATAAAACATTTTAAGTACTAAAAATAGCATTTTTAGTTATCGATAGAGACGTCCAACAGCGACTAACAAACTGACCCTCGCGTGCAAAAGGAGTAGTTTTGATTCAAGGGACTCCATAGCCATCAGAACTCCACAGCAAAATATGCAAAATGCTATTTTTAATATATTTTTTCTTAATGTTTGCTTTACAAACCGGCATTTTGTGTTATCTTGAATATATCTGGCACCCTTATTATTATGTTCAAGTAAACTGTGTTTTCGAGAAAAGACCCGGCACTTTTCAGCCGCATTCAAATATCTCATTTATTACAAATTAATCATGCGTCAGTTTCGTTGATATAGAGGTTCAAACACCTAACGCTTCAAGTGCAACCCCTTCGTCCTCCTCTCTTTACAAAAGAAAACTTTGTGTGTTTAGCCTCCCCCCAAAACGGCCAAATTGCGTAGCACCACAGATTCTTTAGAAGCTGAACCCCTAACCGTTAGTACCCTTTATTCAGAGAGATTTTTTCAGACATCGACTTCCCCATCTTGAGTTGAAAGATCAAACAAACTTTCTTATTTATTTAATCAGGCGGTGTGCGCTGGGATTGCGATGCATTGTGGATGTAGAATTTTGAAGATGGCGGCAAATGTCGAGAAATTTCCGAGGTTATATGCTTTATATTTCGATAGACATAGTTCTTTTTTGAGAAAGTTATCCACAATTTCATAAACTTATTTAGGCTTTTTCTGTGAAGAAAAAAATCAACATTCCTCGTTACAATCTAAAACAGGAAGCACGAAGATTCATCCTCTACGAGCACGAAATTTGAACCTGTTTTTTGAAGAGCTATTATTTCTATCATAGTGCTCATTGACGACAGAAACTAGTCTTAAGTGTTTTCACAAAGATTGTTCTACGCCAAGGTATAAACGCTCCCTAACGCTCCCCACTTTTTGAAATATTTTTTTCGAATTAAAACCGACATGTTTTCATAACAAAATGTGGCCACGCACAGACGTGACATGGCAATGGAACTGTCACTCTTAGCTACTCTTGTAACCACAAGTTAATTACAAAATAGTTCAGTGGTTATATACAAGAGCATAAAGCCTGTGGACGATTGCACATAACAATTGTCAGATTTATGAAAAAATATATGAATGAAAAAAGGCCTTTTGAAGTCAGATTGAAAAAAAACAAATCACACCAAGTAAAATGATAATGTGATGCATGTGAAGCCTCTGAGAGTATAATGAAAGCACCTGAATATTTTTTCCTCAAAGATAAGAAATTAACTTTAAATACAGATAAACCTCGTACATTTTGAAAACAGCTACCTTTTATGAAAAAAAGTGGTGAGAGAAATGCATGAGTAGTGTCATGTAGAAGCCATGTACCAAGCTGGCACTTTGATGCTAGTCAATGGAATATTCCCATTGTTCTTATTACACTTGAGTGTCAAATTAATAAATATCTCTGTTTAAGACTAGTGTGTGTGTGTGTGTGTGTGTGTTTGTGGGTGGATGTTAGGATTATTGTAGTTTAGAGGAATTTGGAACAGCTAGAAAACAAACTGCTTGTACACTGAGGTCAGTCAACCTATTTACCCCAAGAACACAGTTATATCACGGGATTTGCATATTTTGGTGGCTTGAGTTAATACAGTTTATCTCACAGATGTACTAAATTATAATTGGGGAACCAAGGCTAAGGGAAAAATAGTTGATGGGAAAGGGAATATCTGTAGTAGTTAATTTCTTATCTCAGGTAATTTTTCTTTTTCTTTTGTTTTGGGTATTTAAATGTGTGCAAATGGAGTTGAAACAAAAGAAAAATAAAATTTACCTGAGATAAAAAATTAACAACAAGATATCCAAAGTGGGAAAAGGGGGTACTACTAGGATCCACCACAGTAACAACTGCTAACCCAAAAGACTGAAGTATATCAACAACATGGCAGGAAAAATAATATCTGTCACTATAAAATGACAGCACTGAAACACTTATCACCATACCAATATAATAAAACGTGAATACATTTACCCAAAAGTTTGCACCTAAATAACACCTATGACACAACATTTGAATTAAACAAATTGTAGTTTGAGGGAGGGGTTCACGAGAAAGGAAAGGGGTCTCCCTACATGTTGCCCCTGATTACAGTAGATTTGTAAACACAGATAAGATTTTCACATTTTGAATTAAAAAATTATTCTTATCATACAAAAAATATGCGAGGACATATGTATGTACATACTGATACAATCATTCATATAAAAAAAAAATGGCAAAAACTATACTATGAATGTCTCTTAGGCTCAATTCTTGTAACTTAATCTGCTTGACTGTAAGAGGATTAGTAATCACAAATGGTGAATGCCATTTTCAATTTCAAACCTTACATTCTGTGACTCAAACCAATATAGAAAGCAAGAATACTAGGTTGCAGTATTTCTTCATTAGCTTTTTATTTCTGACTAAAGATCCCTGAAGAAAGTAGTGCTCAAAATTATTTATAAATAGGACACAACTTACTGTACATGTATTTACTTCATGTGTGATAAATACAGATGGTAAAACAAAAAACAAATGCAAATAGGGTGCCAACAGAGACCTAAATCCCGGTAAAGCTGACCCGCTAAAGTTCTCTTATAGTACCTGGCAACTGTTTTAGGGCTATCCTGTCACAGAAGGAAGCATACACAATCTTACAAGATTTTCAAGCCAACTTAAGCTTAAATTCATCTTGCTAATAATGAAGAAATCGTCGTAGTACCTCGTAGTTCTAGTTGCACTAATCTGACGATGAAATCATTTTTTCCAGCGAACCACGGGTCTTACCTAAGAGGCGTATGGAAAAGCCGGAATCCGGAATCCGGAACCGGAGCCGGAAACGAAACCGGAACCGGAACCGGAACTTAAATTGAGACCGGGGTAAACTGGGAAGCACTAAAACCAGTTGCCGATACCCGTGTGGAAATAAAATTCAAGATGGCGTCCTCTGTTATCATTGTTTTGAGAAATTTTCAGCACAGTGATCTTGATAACAAAGATATACTCACATTCGGAAAGTGACTTGCAAAAAAAAAAAGGGTAAGTGCATCCTACTGTTATTCCTAGCAGTTATAAACTGTGACTGCAGCGGTAGGTCGAGCAATTTTCGACAGATCGAGACTACAGCGAATCAGAAGCCGATTGACTGCGAAAAACAGCCATTATTAGTATGTGATGTTTAAGACCGCTGTTTTATTCATTTCCTTCTCTTGAGCCTAAGTTACTCATTTCTTAAAAGGGCTCCGTGTTACATCCATTGTGAGGGAAGGCGGCAAAGGGAGGAGGAGTACTCATGTCAATCATCATCTCAAGTTGGAACGCTCACGCGTATATGAAATTCTCGAAGAAAAATTTTGCGCCGTTCGCAAAAAATGTGACAGTAAAAAATAAAATAACAACAAATAAATATAATGTGGGGATGAAAAGTCTTGATCGAGCAATAATTGTTAGTGACACTCTCAAGACAGAAACGTCTCCAATTTTTATTTCTTAGGTTCCGGTTCCGGTTCCGGTTCCGTTTCCGCTTCCGGCTCCGGTTCCGGATTCCGGATTCCGGCTTTTCCATACGCCCTACCTATAGTACTTTCATGACTGAAGCACAGGGAGCCCGAACGCTGTTTTAGCTAATAGAAAAAATTAGATGTATTTACGCTGTATTAGCTAATAAAATAATAATTAAGATGCATTTTCATTTGTTCCTGTCACTGTCTTTAGAAGTCGTTTTGGAAGGGATTTGAATCCGATTAGAGATGGTTATTGAGTAACATTGCTGGTTTGCGTTTGCTTGTCTAGCGCATCGTAAATAAGCAAGACGCTCAAGTTTCGTCTCACGTTTCTAATATTGTCATGTTATTCAATCTTTATTCAAAAATTTATAGTCCTGCAACGGGGTGACCATCACGCAAGACGCCTAAATAAAATGAATAAAATTAAAAGTAATGACTTTAAAAAAGAAAAAAAAAATTCTATAAAAGATAAAATGGATAAGAAAATAATAATAATAATTAAAATAACTAATTTCACAGCATCAATCATTATGCAATATTAAAATTAATCATTGGCTAAAATACTCAAATAAGACTTTTTTGAAACGATCTGCGGACTTGATGTTAACAATTTCGCTTGGCAACGCATTCCAGTCCTTGACAGTTCTACAAAAATAACTATTCTTATAAGTCTCAGTATTTGGCAGCAGTTCAATAAACTTGTTTTGGCTAGAGTTCCTTAAATGTCTTCTGCGCTTCGTAACATAGTCTGGGAAGGCCAGGCCGCCATCACCATGAATTGCTTTGTGGAACAAGGTTAACCGCGAGATTGTTCTTCGTTCCTTCAGGGGTATCCAGTTTAATTCGTTCAAGAGGTTTGTAACTGTTCCTGGTTCCCGCGTGTAACAGTTTTTAACGAAGCGTGCGGCTCTTCTTTGTACTCCCTCTATTTGTTTGACGTGTTTTTTTAAGTGTGGGTCCCAAACTGAGCTTGCGTATTCCACGTGAGGCGGCTCACAATGGCTTTGTAGGCTGCCTCTTTCACTCCTCGGGACAACTGCTCAGGTTTCGCCGAAGAAATCCGAGTGATAGATTAGCCTTCATGACTTTGTTAACTATTAACTCTCGATCTCCTTGGGAGATGATCTCGGGTTTCAATTTGACAGTCTCTTTTCTCTTCTCGTGGCCGTTAGAGGAAAGTTAATAGTTAACAATATTAGAAACGTGAGACGAAACTTGAGCGTCTTATTTACGACGCGTCAGACAAACAAACGCATATGATAACCAGCAATGTTAACCGTCTCTGATCGGATTCAAATCCCTGCCAAAACGACTTATAAAGACAGTGACAGGAACAAGGGAAAATGCATCTTGTTATTTTATTAGCTAATACAGCGTAAATACATCTAATTTTTTCTATTAGCTAAAACAGCGTTCGGGCTCCCTGTTACTGAAGCATAGAACAAAGCAGCAATTCTTCGATTTACCGACCGCATGCAAGTGATTTCGAACAAAATACGCTGTTTTTCCCCGACAATTCGATAGCCTTTGTTTTTAAAGACGTCTCTCGAATGAAATAAAGGTAAATCGCTGATTCCTACAGCGTATTTAACGAATATTCGTATCCGCAGTTGCTTCCTGCGAGATGTTCACTCCTCACCATCTTGACACAACTGATCAGATTTTGAATACCGCCCATGATGCTTAGCGATCCCAGTGCGCACACCGCCTGGTTTTTAATGAAATGTCGTTCGATTTACAATTACAACTTTCACTCGTGAGTAAATAATGAGGAGAAAGGAAATGAATCAACATCGTTTCCAGTGTCGATGTTTTGTGTCTTTTGGAACAATGGGAGAGGAAAAGAGAAGCCCGAGGTAATGGGGTTGGAAATTGATTGATTCCGGCGGGGACCAGCTGCTGCTGCTTTTTTATGCATTTTATGCATTTAAAGGAAACCTCTTTGACAGTACTTTTGCTTGGTACTGTTTGGATTTTTGTCTCCAACTTTATTTTGATTTTAGCTTTGCTTTCAGATTTTCAATTACGTAATTTTGTTTGTGTTTACAAGTAATGCGCTTGAGGTTAGGCGGTAAGAACTTCTCCCTACTTGGTAACATAATCTATAAACAACAATCGATTGTTTTTTTTACGTTATTTAAAGAATGAAATACATTATGTGTACACAATTTGATAGTTGAGGTCACTGATCATGAGAATGGGAGACTTTTATAAAAACACAATCAAGTTAAAAAATAGCATGAGGAAGAATACACCAGATGAGACCTTAATCATTACACTTGCACCAAAAAGCGAACTAAGCCAGTTTCCAACAGAATCTTCTTCAGAATTGTCTTCTTCTCCAAGTTCCCCTCGGAATGGCGAATCCTTAATTAGTTCTTTGTTGCACAAATCACTGTGACACCATTTAATGCATTTCGTACCATGACAGCCTACCGCCCTATGCCAGTCACGACCGCAGCCCATTTTCTTCAATTTACCCTCATACTCAAAGTAGCATCCATTGTCGTGCTTTACGCATTCTTGGGGCGTGTAAGCGATACAAACCTTAATGTCCTTAGTGTGACACTTGTGACAGCGCAAAGAAAAAACTGATAAAAAAAATTGTTAAGGTTATTTATTAGTAAAGAATAAAGAAATAACATAAACCAGCGTAATTAGCACCGCAGGTGATTAGTAAGTACCGTTGTGTGCTTCTATTCAGGGCCCGAGGAGAGGATTTTCTGCAATTTTCGACAGATCGAGACTACAGCGAATCAGAAGCCGATTGACTGCGAAAAACAGCCATTATTAGTATGTGATGTTTAAGACCGCTGTTTTATTCATTTCCTTCTCTTGAGCCTAAGTTACTCATTTTTTAAAAGGGCTCCGTGTTACATCCATTGTGAGGGAAGGCGGCAAAGGGAGGAGGAGTACTCATGTCAATCATGATCTCAAGTTGCAACGCTCACGCGTATATGAAATTCTCGAAGAAAAATTTTGCGCCGTTCGCAAAAAATGTGACAGTAAAAAATAAAATAACAATAAATAAATATAATGTGGGGATGAAAAGTCTTGATCGAACAATAATTGTTAGTGACACTCTCAAGACAGAAACGTCTCCAATTTTTATTTCTTAGGTTCCGGTTCCGGTTCCGGTTCCGTTTCCGGTTCCGGCTCCGGTTCCGGATTCCGGATTGCTTTTCCATACGCCCTACCTATAGTACTTTCATGACTGAAGCACAGGAAGCCCGAACGCTGTTTTAGCTAATAGAAAAAATTAGATGTATTTACGCTGTATCAGCTAATAAAATAATAATTAAGATGCATTTTCATTTGTTCCTGTCACTGTCTTTAGAAGTCGTTTTGGAAGGGATTTGAATCCGATCAGAGATGGTTATTGAATAACATTGCTGGTTTGCGTTTGCTTGTCTAGCGCATCGTAAATAAGCAAGACGCTCAAGTTTCGTCTCACGTTTCTAATATTGTCATGTTATTCAATCTTTATTCAAAAATTTATAGTCCTGCAACGGGGTGACCATCACGCAAGACGCCTAAATAAAATGAATAAAATTAAAAGTAATGACTTTAAAAAAGAAAAAAAAAATTCTATAAAAGATAAAATGGATAAGAAAATAATAATAATAATTAAAATAACTAATTTCACAGCATCAATCATTATGCAATATTAAAATTAATCATTGGCTAAAATACTCAAATAAGACTTTTTTGAAACGATCTGCGGACTTGATGTTAACAATTTCGCTTGGCAACGCATTCCAGTCCTTGACAGTTCTACAAAAATAACTATTCTTATAAGTCTCAGTATTTGGCAGCAGTTCAATAAACTTGTTTTGGCTAGAGTTCCTTAAATGTCTTCTGCGCTTCGTAACATAGTCTGGGAAGGCAAGGCCGCCATCACCATGAATTGCTTTGTGGAACACGGTTAACCGCGAGATTGTTCTTCGTTCCTTCAGGGGTATCCAGTTTAATTCGTTCAAGAGGTTTGTAACTGTTCCTGGTTCCCGCGTGTAACAGTTTTTAACGA